ATAAAAATAAAGCAAAAATCTCCCTGCGGTTGCTGCCAACCGTCTCGGCGCTTCCCCGCCGTGGGGACAGGTCGGGCCGAAGGAGCGGTGGTTCGGAGCCAGTCGGGCCCCACTCGAAAACACCTCGTCCGGTCGCATCTTTGCACCTAAAGCTGCTTTCGGAGCGAGGAGCCGACGGCCCCGCGCCCTCGTCCAGAACCTCCCCCCCCCCGACGGGCGCGTCGCGGAGGCTCCGACAATTCACGGCGCGGCTCCAAAGCGGCCCGACTGTCATCACCCGGCAGATAAACGGCCGGATCCCCGACGGCAGCGCGGCTCCGAGGCAGGGCTCATCATCGCCGAGGCAGGGAGCAGCGAGGGGGAGGACCAGCCCCTCTGCCCGGCACAGGCGCTCCAGATCACTCATCACTGTCACCGGGCTTGTTCATGCTCTGGCCCGAAACACCGACGATTAATAACAGCTCACTGTCGCTTTTTCTCCAATAGCTACACGTGCGCTGCGTCTCCRGCAAAAAATAAAATAAATAAAATAAAAAATAAATATACATTATAATAATAAAGGAAAAGCAACCAATCTGCGAGTTACCTGCCGGGACGCCGCAATATTTTAATATTTTTGGAGCCGGGCGCAGGCTCGAAAGCGGCGCGGGCCGGTTCCCTCTGCCCGTCCCCGCCACTCCGCGGCCGCGCTGGGCTGCGGGACAACACCGCGGAGCTGAGCGGGGTTATCGAGCTTCCCACCGAGAGTTTGGACGGGCGAGAGCTGCGAGAAGCCACAGGATTTGGCCCGCGACGGCGCGGAGACCGGATTATTCGTGTATTCGGTAGGAGACGCGAAACATCCAGCCCGCGTTACAAGCAACGACAGCGCCAAATTTCTAATAACTCTGTAATATGCTTATTTATACCATACAAGGACTCACAAACCTCATTGTGCATAGCAGCTGGCTCATATTTCTTTACCCTTCCATTCCTCAGGCTCCTTTGCCAAGAGACGGGTACCAAACACTTCCAGGCTGCAAGGGAAACACAAAATCAGATTGCAAAGCAACGATGACAGGAAGCACGGGTAAGATATGATCTGACACGCAGCGCTTTAATCTCGCAGCATCTGCTTAAAATAGCTGCRCTAATGGTGTACTTAAAATATGCACCTTTTTAAATACGAGCAATTCTCCACGTAGAATAAGTTCAATCGAATTATCTGCATGTATGAAGCTTCTTCTGAGCATATTTTGTAGGATGAGTCRATTTATACTATTAAGTGAATCTTTTATCAATATTAACAATATTTAACGTATTTCAAAATCTTGTAATCTGATGTGTTGTTGTGTCCTTGTGCAAATCTGCATTGCAATTGAACAAATCAAACGAACGACGCGTTTCCAAATTGCTTTTTAATATTTTGGAAAAATTCCTAATTTTATCCTAGCATACCAAATGTATGATGTATGCCCTCAGAATCTCAAGCAAAGCGATGTAGCTGCAGAACAGACAATACCCGTTATGTAACCACAACGGCTTCAACAAAGCACCACATTCAGCTATCCAGAAACTACTAAAAAAAAAAAAAAGTTTTTTTTAAACAAGTATTTTACAAACGAAAATAAATAACTGAGGGTTTATTCTAATTTTTAAAGCTAGCACTAATTTTGTCTGAGTGCTCTGGATTTATGTTTTGAATAGTCTGTTTCATTTTTAAAAGTTGCATTTAGAAAATAATAATAATAATAATAAAAAAAAATTAAGTCATTTGTGTGTTTTGCACAGAAGACATTTTACGGTGAGCTTGGTAAAGCTCTGCAAGAGAACAAATCATCCAGGGATCATTATTCAGGTGA